AAACAAACCAACATGAAATGAATTATAAGTGCCTCAGAATGAACAATAGGAACCATGGCTCTGAAAGTCATAACCAGTAACAGTAAATGTTTGTAGGAGGGAGAGTCGGGTTCCTGGGATTTGAGAGACAGTTTCACCAGTCTGTCCTTCTCTGTGTGAGGTGTTATTACTGGTCTGTCATGGTTTACTTCCCAGTAACCTGGGCTGCATGAGCTGATAGCTGGTTTTGCTGTTTTGTTGACTGATCCTTGCCACACCTGCTCGATTTTATTCTTTGTCTGCAAAATCTGCTTCTTTATAATATCAATGAGATTGTGATGCAGTTCCTCCTAAAATGGAAGCTCAAATAACCATGATATGGATGCTATGTGCATCTGTTTGCCATGATATCTAAGGGAACTTGTCGCCAGTCTGTGGCTTCATAGGTTAATGAGAAACAACTGTGACTGTGACTTTTGCTCTGGTGAATGTACAAAACAACCTGAGATTTAAGGATTAGGAGAATTCTAGGAAAAGATACTTCTGTCAGCTTCCAGAAATATAAAGCAAACTTACCAAATATAAATGTACTCTGTATGTGGGACGCCAAGTCAAGGCAAGTGAGTGTTATTGTCACGCCATCTGTATACAACAGTGTCTCTCAATCTGGTCCTCGGAGACCCATAGTCAGCCCATGTTTTTGATCCTTCCGAGTTTCCTGCCAGACATTCCACATTTTTGCTCCCTATCGGGAGCTGGGATAGAGCAAAAAACGTGTACTGTCTATGCCTCCCCAAGGATCGGATTGGGAAACACTCATATACAAGTATACAGTGGCAGGGAGTAACATTCTCCCAAAATGATGTAACACTCAGACAGCTAGTGAAAAGCATGAGGCTTTTCACAGTACTAATAATGCAAAGCACAGGGCAATGTGAAGCAGGATGGCTGGGTTTAGAAGTGTCTTTTGTATGGAAGGTGTGACAACAAGATTTCAATGGCTCCTGCATTAGATTCCTTGATGCAACGGCCCAGTGAATCATGACTGTTATGTCATATTTTCAAGTAGCGTTTACAAGTAAATGTGTAACTGTTGCTGGAAAGCATGAACATGGTGCCCTTTGACCCAAAAACACCTTACTGTTGAACAGCTGTTGGAGTTTTAAACGATGTGGTTCCAAACCACGATGGCACGTGTGCTTCTGAGATGCTCGTTTGTGCGTAAGACTGCTGATACACAAACAGCGTGGGAATATGACAAGGGAAGTTAATCAGACAATAATTCAAGTCAAATGCTCCCAGAATGCTTTGCTATCTTTGTGTAAGGTTTTTAAGAAGTTAATTAAGGTCGTTTGAGGTTTGTTTTATCATAAGGTGTGTTCTTTGAGAACATTCCTACAAAGCATGGATAATTTTATGATAGAGGAACTGAAAACTGTTTAAAAACTGTTGTAGAATGTTTTTGATCATTCTTGGTGGGTCTGTATTGACAATCTTGAGTCCTTCGGCTAGAATAGATTATGTAATACGAATTTTATCAAGATTATGCTTGCTTACGTCTTGCAAAAATTATAAATGTTTTAAATGGTGGGGGGGGGGAGTGGTGTAAACAGCTTGAGGAATCCCTCAAACCACCCCCCCCCCCAAAAAAAAAGGGAATCCCCAGTACGTAAACAAGTGACATAAGAGCTCAAGATGCTGCCCAGCTGATAAGCCTCCGACGTGCACGGCGCTGGATTGCCCCAAACTAGCAACGGAGCGAAGAAGCTGTCTAGGCCCAAGGTGCGAGGGTGGGGGTGGGCGGGGGCGGGGGGGTGTTGTGAGCTGATAGCCTCTTTGGGCTATGGAGATGGGCTTATCTCCCCACGACTGGATGCTCCTGAGCATCGAAGGGGTAGAGGACTGGAGGAGGGGGGTGGGGGGGGCCCCCAAACTTTGGACAAGGAATATGACTCAGCGTCGTCCTCTGGCTGGGTGTTGACCCGCTCCGACCCGCTCCGCACGCCACACTCTCACCGAGTACCGCTCCGCACGCAAAGCCGCCCTGGACTTCACCCACGGCCCCCAAACAGCCGGAATTACCTTTCCTCGGGTAAGTCCCCCGTCGGCGTCTCCACCTGACATCACCTGACTTTGTTTTTAATGCGCTGGCCTGGGGGGGTGGCGGCCCAGCACAAAAGTTCTGTGAAAACATACTTGGGTTCCTGAAAATGACATTCGAATGAAATTATGACACGGTCACTTCATCCCAAGCATGGCTTTGTGCACGTTTCTTGCTGTGAATGCATCGATTACCATACAAATTGCGATATGTACAGTTATGCTGCATAATCATAATCTGAAATTGTTCATTTTTCGTTATACAAACACGGCGCAACGATTTGCGCTGGTCTTAGTTTTACTATTTTTCCCAGCAACCCTTCCATTCACCTTTAGTTCGAATATGTTAGAAAATTAGTGCATTGATCACAAAGTGGGTACATAAAATATGTATCCTTGCTGACATTTCAGGGTGTCTTGGTGAAAGCTTGGAAGCTCATGGGACACGGGAAGTTGGTTTTGGGATGGTTTTCGAGAATTTCATTTCGTGGAATCCTTTGATGTTACACATCACCAAACCATGTAGGTTCATGAACAGCAGGGGGTTAAAGGTAAAGTGCGGCGGCGTGGAAAGTTAACGAAACGGTGTTAATGAGTACAATCGAATTCCTAGCGGTGCATTAAATGCCCAGCTCTGTGGAAGAGTAGCGGTTAGAGTTCGTGGGGCACAGGATGGGTCTGAGGTGGTGAACAGTCTGGCGGGGTAGGCTGGAGCCCATGACCATACGGTGGCGGCACCATCGCGAGAGAGTCATTGTCTGCTAGGCTAAGCGAGGGTCTTAAACTGGGTCTCAGCCACAGCCGGTGGAAGGTAGGTGGGTGACAGGTCCAAGCAGAGCAGCTGATGAGATGTAGCTTGTCTAGATGCTGGTGCTTTCCTAGGAATAGCTAACAACAGGGATACCTAGTAACCTGTGAGTGTAGCACCTCTGTGCTTGGGCGAACCTGCTACGGTTTGTGTTGAATTAGCTCGTATCTCTTGAACCCAGACGTTCTCTCCATTTAGGGAGTTGACAACCTGTTTTGGAAGACAGAGAGATATATGTGACAAGTTAAAGTCCAGTGAAATAACAGTATTAAAATAAACAGATATTTCTAGTAAAATATTCCCAGAATGCTTTGCTAACATTGTAAGATAATGAGTAATGCTGCATTAATGTGTTTGACCAACTTTTATACCTTAAATGTTCTCTGGTAACGTTCCTGGAAGGTATAAAAACCTGGATAACTTTATGATAGAACATTCATTGGACATGAATGTTATATATGATAAAACAACAGATAAAAGTTAAACATCTAGCTGTATGATGTGATTCTGGAACGATAAAAGAGGTATAATAGGTAATCGGTGACAGGAAAAGGTTTTGCTGTGCAGGTTGCATCTGAATGGGTGAGATCCATTCAATGACTGTGGCAAGGGTGTGACACACAGATAAGAGCCTCAGCTCTGCCCTTGCTGGCTGAAATATAATCCTATGTGTTCCCCGCCGTCCCTTAAGAGCAGCCACACAGTTACACGATAGAAGCTTTGTGTATGGTTATCTCTTTGTGCTGAAGCTTCAGTATGTAAATTGGCAGATAAACTACTGGTGCCTTTAAATATACAGCACTGTGCAAATGTCTTAGGCAGTCAAAGGAAATGATGTGTAAATGATCTTCATGTTGGTCGTAAAACTACGATATTATGTCTGTTAAAGTGTGTCAGCTTAGCCATTTCAAAGCCTCTCCTAAAATCACCCCAGTATTAGCAGCAATCATGCAATGTATTTTTGATTCAATCACTAGCACATCATGTTTGGCTAATCTTGTCTTGTCGAGTCATTTAATTAAGTAATTAATTGAACTAGTGGTGAAATTTAATGAATACATGGAATGGCTATGCTGTCCCTAAGGAGAGGTTTGGGAACAGACAAGATATCCATCTGGAGAACATTGGAGAACAGTGGAGAACAGCGGAGAACAGTTTTTAATGAGTTACTATTCATTTGCAAAGGTTTGATTGTTAGTCAGTGTCTTTTTTCTAAACAAATTTTCACTTACTACCCAGATAAAAAGCTTCAAACGTTTTCTTTGATTTCCTAAGACATTTGCACAGTACTGTATTTTTTATATATTATAAAGAATAACACAAATGTATTCTTTTAGGGAATGTAAAGAAATTTCCAAGTGTTCAGGGACAGAAACAGAAAAAAGCAGACGTATCAGCGCACCCAAATGGAAATTAACCTTTCATTTGAGGGGGTAAGTTACAAAATGTTTCGGAATTTCCAGAATGCCCAGCTCACCTATGGTCTGAAAGCAAGCAGGCAAACAAACAAACAAACAAACAAATACCAACACAATGTAGTAACATCTTGCAGCCCTTGCAGTAAGACAACTGACGAAGTTTGCAAATCATAAATGGAAAGAAACAAAATGGTGTGAATCACCAGCTTCATTATAATGTTCTGCTTCACCCCCCTCCCACCTGTCTAGGACAATGACATGTCCTACGAGGAGCAGGACTCACGGATTTCCTACCCCTTCAGACAGTGAGTGACTCTGACCCTGAAAACAAATCACCATTCCCTGTATCCCCCCCCCTGCTTATGGTGCTGATCCCACCTAATAACCATTTACCAGGGGTTGTGGGTTCAATGTTAAACAAACTAAACTAACCTGACCTCTCTCACCTGGAACCTCTCTTTCACTCAATAGCTAAACTGATCCGCAAACCAGTGCCTTTCTGAGTTAGTAGCTACTGTCAGTATTGGAGAAGCACATTAATAGCCAAAATTGTGGAAACACCAACATTTTTCGCATTCCACTTTAAAAATTACTGCATAAATACTGCCGATAATGTTCATAAACTAATAAATCAAAGAATGATACAAATATCATACATTGGACGATTAAGTAACTGGAGTAAGTGTAATAAAGTTCTGCAATCTCTAAAAACGTCCAGTTTTTCCACAATTTTGGCCAATAGCATATGCTTGAGGTGGCCTGTATTATGTGTAGCAGTTTGCCCCCTGTTGGTTAAAGACAGAATTGCATGATTCTCCAGAGTGACTGAGAGCCTGGAACAATCCTCATGTACAACAAATGAGGACAGATCCGAGCAGCTTTGCTATTACAACACAGACATCACATGTGTCCAGCAAGGCAGAGGTGATGGTTTATTTCAAAAAGCCTTTTCTCTGTGTCAGGGTTGATTGGCGTCGCATCGTAAATGGGAAATACTCACCGTGGCCAGTTGTTCGTAAGATCTGGTGAGACATGGAGTGGTGCATTATAGTGTAGGCTGCCCCTCAAACCACCCCCCCAAAGCAGCTCCTGGTCTGTGTGACCCCCCGCCCCTGTTGTCCCCTTGTCCCGCAGGACACCACCAAGCTACAGAGGCAGCTATAGCCTGGAGAGGCCCCAGCAGGAAGACTATGACCCTCCACCGGAGAAGATCAGCATTTCCCAGGATTCCGAAGGTAGCGGATTATTGGGATATATCCAGGCTATGCGAGTCTTTAATGTACATTTCATTTTGTTTACTGACTCTTTGTCTTTTCTTACTGTTCATCCCATGACCCTTTATGCCACGAATTAGCAGATCATCTACACTGCTAATGGTGGCTAGCAGTCTACCTCAACCAGTTTAAGGTTGTTTCATTGACTTAGGCGTTTAAATGTTGCCTTAAGATGTGTAGGTCTTGGTGATAAGTGCTCATATTCAACATTTTATCTATGTGCTTCAGGTCCACTGAATGTCAACACCAATGCCAACACCAGAGGGGACTGCCTGGTAAGTTTGTCATAATTGCTTGTTTAAGGATGAATGCGTAGAGTTTGTCCCCCCTCCCTATGTTTGTAATGGTTTTGCCTGGGTACTCCAATCACCTCCCTCAGTCCAAAACATGCAGGTAGGTGACCTATCATCTCTAAATTCTCCATAGTGTGTGAGAGTGTGTGACTGTGTGCCGTGTGATGGACAGCTTCTACTGGACCCTGTGAACAGTTATGGAAGATCAATGGATGGATGGATGTGTGATTGAAGTTGAAACACACCTCACAGCTCATTACCCCCCTACACAGCTCAGCTATGACCAGGTGCAAAGCTTAAAGACATTATTGAAAACCACATGGTCTGAATTACATATATAGTTAAGTTATATAGTTGAGTCCTAGCCTCAGTTAAGTGCCAACTTGGGGGGGGGGGGGGGGTCTTTCCCAGCAGCCTTTGCATTTGGCTTTAGCAAGACAGTGGGTGGGGCTCTCAGCAACAGAGCTGGATCAGCTAGCATCTGGGAGATTTAGGTACGTGGGGCACATAGACTGTCTGTATCTCTGCAGGCTTATGTGGAGCTCAATGAGCTGACCAAGGATGGCAACCAAGAGGACTACTGGCAGGAGACCGGCCGCTGGGTGGGCTATGAAGAGAGCTACGACCCAAATGCCGCCAACTGGAGCTCCGCGCATATTTCTTACCTGACTTTCAAGAGTCTGATCCATCTGCGTAAGATCATGAGCTCAGGTAAAGTCATAGGGATCGGGACCTGTTGTTGACATATTGGCCAGGAGGTGGCGCCAAACTCAAGGTTTCCCCCATTTTTTCGCTTCAGGCTTTATCAGTGCTCACAGCTGTGGAACTTCAGTGTCACGTATAATCGAAAGTTTTCCTTTTCCCTGCAACACCCTTGACTGATTAGGGTCACTACTCTCCGTAGCTTATCTCACCATGTGCCTATTTGAAGACTGTAGTTTTGGGCAGAATATATTGCGACAATATGTACAGATATTAAACTACTAAACAAACCACAGAAAGCAATGAAGGAACTGACTTTACCACTCCTGACCTAAAATGAATGAGTTTGTGTTTAAAATGTGCAGAGCCATAATCTTAGTAGTACATTACTGCCTTTAAGTCTTATAATATCACTGCAGTATTGTAATATTCTGCAAATATACAGCGATAGTACGACGGTAAAAGGAATGAGTATCTATTTTTCGTTTTGTTTGTCTCTGTCAATCCCTCATTCAGCTTTATGTGATACACCATAGAGGAAATTTGTTCTATTGTGAAGTGGTTTGTTTGGCACTACTGGATGCTTTTTCTTATTACATATTGCACTGAAGTTCTTGCTATATTCTTTTCTGGCTTAAAGTCCCCCCCCCAAGTTCAACTTAGCAGCACTTATGCCGAAATTATCTCCATGACAACCAGATGCTTGTGGTCTGATTTGCCTCAAATCAAATCACACTTACCTTGTTTAAGTTCTCCGTTCTAGAACTCACGTAATTCCCACAGTGGGTTTTCTGCTAAACACAAAACGTGCACTCATGCCTGCCACCCGGTTCTATGCCTGTGCCCAGGAGTGGTTCTGCTGGACCACGATGCGAGCAGCCTGAGTGACATCGCACAGACTGTGGTGGCTCAGCTGGCGTCCAAGAAGGAGATACGGCCAAACAGCCGGGAAGAATTGCTGAGGGCCCTACTGAAGAAACGCAGGTAGGTTCAGTGCCTTCCTGCTCGCCTGTTTATCAGCAGTGCGCCATTAGAACACAATGGGGCACAAATTAGCGATGGCCAAATGAAGCTTCATGAACCATTTTATGTATTTCTTGACGCCACTAGATGGTGCTCTTGGTTTGCATTGGGGCATGTATTGAGCCCTCTTTTGAATATAGATCCCCACCTAGTGGGGTTAGAAAATGCAGCAAATGGTTCATGAAGCTTTATTTGGTCATCATTAGGCACAAAAGATATTGGGCATCCTAGGGGACACTCATGTTGCTGTGCATCTGCGGGCCAAACGTGCTGCTGCAGACTCCATCTGCACGCTAAAATCTTCTTCAGATAAAAGCTAATTCTGATGCTTGGGCTGATTCTAATGCTGGAATAACACTTTTCTCCAAACAGCCAGATTGAGCAGAAAGAGACTCCAGCTTCTGAGATAGAGATGAAGACCTTCTCTGTCACCAAGATGGTACTTCACCTGCTCTCCTTTCTAAATAGTCACATTCCTTGCCGAGATGACAATAATAATAGCCAGTGGGAACTGGAATGGGTGGGAACTGACCAGTGACCTTTCTCCTTTCTCTGCCAGAGAGATGCCAGTAGCAGCGTGGAGGCTGCAATTGTACTATCAGGTTGGTGGGATTGATCAGAGAACCAGACTTGGACAATTAGAAAGTTTTCCTTGTTGACACTAACAAGGGCCCCTTACACAATAGCCTGGAACACAATTATACAACAAAATAGCATACCCATATTTATGGAAATAAGAATGTATATGAAAACTCCCAGTTTTTTGGAAATATAGAACATTTGCTGGTTGACAGACATTAATTGAGTTGGCCAGTTGGGTGTAGCTGAGACATTTGAGTGCTTCTGTTTTGGACAGGGGTCTTGGACTACCTGCAGAAGCCCACTATTGCTTTTGTGAGGCTGAAGGAGGCAGTCGCTATGGAATCAGCCCTTGAAAGTTCGGTGCCAGTCCGGTTTGTCTTCGTGCTCGTGGGACCCAGCCAGATGGGCGTTGACTACCATGAGTCTGGGCGGGCCATGGCTACACTTATGGCTGATCGGGTAAGGGAGACCTTGGGTGACTAACTACCAGGAACACAAACATTGTACTTGTGGTCTTGGCAAGACTGATCTTACTAACTTGCCATCCAATAACGAACTTGGGAAACCCCTGGTAAATTGGTCTTGTTCGGCTAGGATGCAACCAATGTATCCTTGAAATTTGGGGAAGAGCAAAACCACCATCTGAGGTTTTTTACCATCATCTGTACTTGTGTTCTTAGTATTGCAACTGGTCTTCGACAATGGGAGGTGACTTCTAATGGGTACACGATAACACAAGTACGGTCAAGTACACATAATGAGATTCATCCCTTGGAAGCAATTGACTTTGGGTTGAGGACCGACTGGAGATTCATCAGGATGTGGCTGAGGCTACAACAGACTCTTATATCATAGACAATGAGGTGGCATTATTGGTTGGTTAACCTCCAACCCTCCTGCCTTCTCAGGTGTTCAATATATCTGCATTCCTGGCCCAGAGTGACACAGACCTAACAAACGCTATGGCCGATTTCATGGACTGTAGCATCGTGATTCCTCCTACTGAGATCCAAGACGAGTCAATGCTTCAGTCCTTGATCAACTTCCAGAAAACGATGCTACGCCAGCGGCTTCGTCCATCTGACACCCGGCTCTTCTTCGACAGCCTGGCAGGTGACAGCATCCCTCCTGAAGGTCCTTCTCATGTATGCTGCATTATTGTACAGAAATGGACCCAAAGGCTGAAGTGGGCACTACTTTTTTGAAGGTTCCAAAGACAGCGATGTGCCTAGAGAGGATCCACTTGCGCGCACGGGGCGCCCATTCGGTGGCTTGGTCAAAGACATAAAGAGGCGGTACCGCCACTATCTCAGTGACATCACAGATGCCCTCAACCCTCAGGTCTTGGCCGCTGTCATCTTCATCTACTTTGCTGCCCTTTCCCCTGCCATAACCTTTGGAGGGCTGCTTGGTGAGTAGACAACTCCTACTAAAAACAAAGAAAAACATGCAAAAACACTTTGTATACCTCAACTATTACAAATGTGCAGCACTGGGTAGCAGGCATGTAAAGCCATACTGCAGTGGGATAGCATGTACTTTTAACACACATCTGAGAAGGCTAGATGGGAGATTATATGCGGGCAAAAAACCCTCAAATGAATCTCAAATGAATATGCCCAATATCAGGATTCCATTTCTCAGTTGGAACTGTCAGGTGTTGGGTTTATCTCATTTTTAAAAGCAAATCCCTGCTGAAAAACCCAGCTTGACCAACTTAAGTTGGTTGACCAAGTTATGATAATTGACCAGCTTAAGGTATGTTTTCACATGATGGTTTGCCTGGTCATACCAGCTTATGATGGTCATTCTAGCTGGTTTAATTGGTCATACCAGCATGGCCAGCTTGATACGCTGCCCACACCAGCTTGACGGACTGGTGACCCACCCAGCTAAACCGTCAAAGAGCAGCAAGAGCCGGGACACGACCATCTTAGACCATCTTAGGCCAGTTAAAAAAAGCTACCAGCACAAGTTGGTTTTTAGCTGTTTTTTTCAGCAAGGATGTAATTTATATTCATAAATAATTAGTTTTTTTCTTTTCTTTTGATTAGTCAGCAGAGCATAGTTGAACATATGTTTGTATGCTTATATGTAGATGTGGATCGTAGGTGCTTGTTAGGCATGGTCGCACATGCTGATGTCATGCCTGTGGAGGTCTGCTTCATGGAGGTTTAGCAAGCATGAACTATCTTGTCAGCTTTGTCCTCTTGTCTCCACAGCTGAAAAGACTAATAAAATGATGGGCGTGTCTGAGCTCATGCTCTCAACCGCCGCTCAGGGAATCATCTTCTGCCTATTTGCTGCCCAGCCAATCCTGATCATCGGCTTCTCTGGTCCATTGCTTGTCTTCGAGGAAGCTTTTTTCAACGTGAGCATCTTTTTCTGCCACAATCACCCACCCAATTCTCCCAATACTGCCCCACAAAGGCGAAACATAGTAACTACACTGACACTGAAACTGAGAAAAAGGGCTTCATAGTTTTTTTGAAAGTCCATCTGTATGTGTTTTCTTCAAAACTCAGTATAGTTGAAATTTTGTTCAAAGATAAAACAGAACCTAAGAGACCCAATTTTGGTCATAATTTAATTTAGATAAAATATGCAGTTTATGGTGTTCTGCCTTTGTATAACAGAATAGGTCTCGGTATAGCTAACTGTTTGTTTTTTTTTTTGGGAATTGTAAACTGGCTGGTCGATGCAGCTGTTCATTTTTTGTTTTTGCCTTTCAGTTCTGTGAATCTAACGAAATAGAATACATCGTGGGGCGAGTCTGGGTTGGCATGTGGCTTGTGGTCATCGTTCTCATCATCGTAGCTGTCGAGGGCAGCTTCCTCGTCAGATTCATCAGCCGTTTCACTCAAGAGATCTTCTCCATCCTGATCTCCCTCATCTTTATCTATGAGACCTTTGCTAACCTCATCAAGGTCTGTAATGACCTTTACTTGCACCCCATTGCTGTCTCGGTCTATCGCTGCTCTTGACCCATTAATCCTATCAGATCTTATTATTTGTCATCCTTACATATCTTCTGTACTGTCCCACAGTTCTACTGTGACAATCACTTCAGCCCCATTTTACTTCTTCTACCTTATGCAGATCTTTCAAACCCATCCTCTGATTCTCCACTACGAGAAACTGAATGTTTCCTTGGACAACCTTTCACATGTTCTGGAACAATACGATGAAAGCAACAGTACCACCCCAACATACCTGCTGGCACCGTACCCCAACACTGCCCTGCTTTCCATGTTCCTGATGTTCGGGTGCTTCTTCATTGCATTCTTTCTCAGGCAGTTCAAGAACGGCCATTTCCTTCCCGGCCCTGTAAGTCCCATTGTTGTGTGCGTTCGTATTTTCATGGCTATTCATTTGTATTCATATGATAGTTCCTATAGTTTACTTATGTCTGTGTCGATCATGTCTTTTTGACTGTTCCGGGATCGGAGGGGCTCACTAACTGATGATATTCCTGCCGATCTTGCCCCCTAGCTCAGACGCATGATCGGAGACTTTGGCGTACCCATTGCCCTTTTCACCATGGTCATCGTGGACATCTTTATTCGTGAAACCTTCACTCAGGTATGCATTAGCGCACGGACACTGACATGTGCCTTAATGATATGGTTATGTGCAAGCATATATGCACAGTCAAGACCATGAAAATGGGGACAACGCTGATTTTATTTCCTCATACTCGTTTCATTGCAAAGCAATGCAATGTCGTTTTATATCTGACTGTGCCTCTAGGGCGGCGCTCTTCAGTCCTGCCCGCTACTCCTCACATGTATGCCGCTTTTTGGTCAAACTTTATTAATTAGCAATCAATCAAGCAGTCAATCAATTCATTAATTGGATACATAATAATAACAGATTAGTTCATTCATTATTAAGTATTTCTTCATTATTTGATTGACTGGGCCGCTGGTTCAGTGAATACAGGTCTGACAGTCAGAATGGCGAATTGTCTGATGTTATCTCCCGTCTTTATTCTCGTTAGAAACTCGAGGTGCCAAAGGGAGTGACTGTGTCCAACCCCGATGCCAGAGACTGGTTTATCCACCCCTTGGGCATTGAAAAAGAATTTCCCATCTGGATGATGTTTGCTTGCATAGTACCGGCCCTGCTAGTCTTCATCCTCATCTTCCTCGAATCCCAGATAACCACGTGAGTGCCCTGTCTGGATACTTATGTTCTCAACATAGTACAAAATCGTACCAAAACAATGCATTGCTAAACATATATGATTACAGGATTTTTTTTCCCTCCATTTTATTTTTGTGTTTCCATCAGCAGGTTTACTGACTTTTGACTTATAATCGGAGAATTCTGTTCATTTGGTGCTTAATATTATTTAATAAGGTGTCTTCCTGACAGCACGAAAACTGAATTCTGTAGGAGTAAATTTTGATTATTGTAATGTGTCAACTGGGCCCAGTGCTCATGTGCTCCAGGCCTGCCATGACCCTACTCTAGATTAATGTTTGTAAGGTGGATGAATGCATCAATCAATCAATCAATCAATGGATTAATGCGTTAATGCTGCGTTGTTGAAGTAGCACGGTTACGGTGTTAACATATGCTTCCTGGGTGGTGTTCCCCTTTGGTTATCGCCCTTCCGTTACCAGGCTCATCGTGAGTAAGCCTGAGCGGAAGATGGCGAAGGGCTCTGGGTTCCACCTGGACCTCCTGCTGATCGTCACCATGGGCGGCATCGGCGCCTTGTTCGGTGTGCCATGGCTCAGTGCCGCCACGGTGCGCTCGGTCACACACGCCAACGCCCTGACGGTCATGAGTAAAGGGCCCAAGCCCGTGATTGAGAGGGTGCTGGAGCAGAGGATCAGCGGTATGCTGGTGGCTGTGTTGGTCGGTGAGTCTGGCACCATCACTCCTAAAGGGTCCTGCAAAAACCATCCTGGGACTTTGCCCATCAGATACAAAACATTCATCAGTTTGCTTCCGCTGTCTTCCATGCCTTGGTCACAAGGGGTCTGTCCTCTATTCTGGCTGTCTCCAGGGGTGTCCATTGTCTTGGAGCCTGTCCTGAAGATGATTCCTACGCCGGCCCTGTTTGGAATCTTCCTGTACATGGGTATCACCTCGCTCAGCGGTGTCCAGCTTTGGGACCGCATTCTGCTCCTGGTGACACCCAAGAAATACTTCCCCCCCGATGCCTATGCGACACTGGTAGGTCTCCTCATTTAGCCCCACTTGTCACCAAAATGACTGCCACCCGTTAATAGGTGGGTTACATCAATGTCGACAACATAGCTTGAGTAACACAACTCATATTTCAACCAGAAGTTAGTACATGGAATTTTACTAAGATGGTGTCGTCGTGTGGTTTCCTCGAGGTAATCCGGTTTCCCCCCACAGTCCAAATACATGATGAGGTTAATTGGAGTTGCCCATAAATTGCCCATAGGTGTGCATGTGTGAGTCAGTGGTGTGTGAGTGTGCCCTGTGATAGGTTGGCACCCCATCCTTTTTTATGTTCCCTGCCTTGCACCTGTATCTTCTGCCCCCCCGCCCCCCCAAATACAGATTCCCTGACAAGTAGTTACAGAAAATAGATGGATGGAATGAACTTTACTAAGATAGCAAAGCGACAAAACCATATGTAGATAAGCTCATTAAACCCATATGAGTCCATTACTATGGTGACATCACCCCATACAGTGTGATTCACCGTCTCATAAGGGGCTCTTGGGTTACGTTTTCTTCCTGGTAAGTTGTGTGGACAAGAATATGTTTCCAAGAGTGTGTGCAAGTCATACAATACGATGGTGTGTTCGGTCGTAGTTACTCTTCTCTGTCCCACCTGTGCAGGTGGCACCGCTGAAGATACACCTCTTCACGCTGATCCAGGTCATATGCTTGGCGCTGTTGTGGGTGGTGAAGTCCACCAAATTCTCCCTGGCTCTCCCTTTCATCCTCATCCTCACCATCCCTCTGCGTATGTTAATGACCGGACGTATTTTCAGCACTCGGGAGATAAAATGCGTAAGTCCGCTCCTACCCGATGAAATCGTCCCACTGAACGGTCCGTTCTGGAAAACGTAGCGGCCTCTCGCTGCCTCTTTCCGCTGTGGTGACCCTGCTCTGTCTTGCAGCTGGATTCTGACGACGCCAAAGTGGTGCTTGAGGAAGAGCCGGGAGTGGACGTCTACAGCGAGTCGCCGTTGGCTTGAAGCTCGCGAGGCACCTCCTACCAGGTCCAAATTTATGCAAGACTCCAAAACACATGCCCACAAAGTGACGTGTTTTTTTTAATGACACATACTCATGTTGCAAAACGTTACAGTACTTTCATTACTTTAATATAGACTACCATAACACATAAAATTTTGGAGTGAATTTCCTTATCCCACTGTATGTTTTTATTAAAGTGTTTATCTGTGTTCCTAGCAAAACTTTAAAACATTAAGCTTTTTTAAATAAATAAATAAAAATGCATTGTTACTACTTTTAAAAAATACATTTTTTTGTACAAATATTGCATCACCGGATATCTTTTATCCTACAACTATATCTGATTATGCTTTAATGCCTATTGTTTTTTTTATGATATTCTACACTAGTGTTCAGTATTGCAGATGGATTGATCCAACCTCTTACGAGGCTATGTACTCAATCTGACATAATTTTATAAGATTGTTTTTTGTTTTTTACCATCATGTGAGTTGTAGTTTATAAGGGCTTTTGTTTTTAATGTATGTTGGCTTACAGTTTTATAACAAAAATAAAAACAATTTTGTGTTAGTTGTTTGCAGTAAGAATGATTACTTTATGTATTTATCTATACTCTGTATGTTGGGGTTCTGTAGTTTTCTAAAACATAGTACACAACTGAATCTTCACTTATGTCCATTCTAGATATTTCAAGGATTGTTACAAATGCCTTTTTCATCGAATACAATTAAAATGACCATTAAAGGGCGTTTCGAACATGTAAATAATGTCGACACTGAACGTAGGTAATATGCAATATTTATTTTCATTACTTTGCAAAAACATTTTCACCCTGCTTACAGTTTTCCACACTGGAATTGTCAAATGAACTCGAGACAGTGATATGTATCTTAGTATTTTAAATTGGTTTAGAACTGTGTTATATGGCTGTTACAAACCTTAAGTTTATAATATCCCATTAAAATATCAGGAAAAAAAACATTTTTCCTCTTTTTTTTCTAAAAATGACTATCTGAAGGTCTGTCTAGATCTGTCTAGACCCCCACAGGTGTCTTCTGCATCATAACTGGCCCTTTCTTTGTTTATATTTAAATAAGTAAGTAAAGTTTATAATGTGATGGTTTGAACTGAACACTATCCCTTGAATTTCACATTATGAAGCGGCATAATCAGGCTAGTGTCACGCCTCGTGTGTGCCACGCCCCCCTCGTTACCTCGTGTTACTTCCCGATTGTGATCGCCTGTTTCCTGTTATTTTCGGCTTGTCTTGTGTATTTAGTCTGCGTCTGAGTCAGTATTCCCCAGATCTGTCATTAATGTGCGTCGCTGTCTGTCCTGGTCACGGTAATAAACCCGATTAATTGTGGATTTTCGCCTTCCTGCCTCGTCCTTCCACGCGATTACAACAGAATGACAGATCTCCCCGAAAACGCACCGCGGTGGACCGAGAGCCAGCGCCTCGGTCTCCTGCAAGAGGTGTTATTCTGGCTGAACCAGCCCGAGGTCCGAAAGGACCCCGTGGCGTTGGGCTTTGCCAGCCGGAGCAGCGACCTCCTGAGGCAGATGACGCCGCCCGGGAACGTGCGCCTCATTAACGAGGTGCACGACAATCTCCGGCTATTAGTGCAGCGCGTCACGGAGATGAGGGTTCCGCCCGTTGCGCTGTACAAAGCGGAGGCTGCCGACTCGCCGTCCGTCGTCCCCGAAACGACGCAGCCGCCCGCCATCCACCGGAGAAAAAAGAAGAGGCGTAAGGAGAGGGCACCTGAAGAAGAACCGGCGATCTTCTTGAGGGCCTGCTCTCTCACCACTGCTGCATTGCCCCCTCAGGTACCCAAAGCCCGCCTTACAGCCACTGAACTGCCACCGCTAGCAGCCTACCATAAGCGGGTGGCACGCCTGTTTAATAGGGGGGCCAGGGCCGTTTGGGACACCATTCCCGGGATCCCCAAGGCCCTTAAAGAGGCAGCGCCTGCTTGCTCGGCACCCGTTCCTGATCTGCCTGTCATTCCCGATCTGCCCGTCGTTCCTGGTGTGCCCGTGCCGGCTACACCCGTGGCCTTTCCGGCTGAAGCCGCTCTGCCCGCGGCACCGCCGGATGCCGCCGCTACGCCCGTCTCACCTGTCCTGTCCGTCTCGGCAGCGCACCCTGCTGGCCACACGCCCGAGGTGCCTGCTGAGGCGCCCCCTGCTGGCCACACGGCCGAGGTGCCTTCTGCCGCCGCTCTGCCCGTGGCACCGCCTGATGCCGCCGCTACACCAGTCTCACCCGTCCTGTCTGCTTCGCCCGTCTCGCCCATCCTGCCTGCCTCGCAAGCGCCCTCTGCTGGCCATGAGCGCCTGCTGCTGCCGCTACGCCCGTGGCACTGCCTGCCGTCTCGCCCGTCCTGTCTGCCTTGCCCGTCCTGCTCGCCTCGCCTGTCTCGTATGCCCTGCCTGTCTTGTCAACACCCGCTGCTGGCCGAGAGTCGGCGATGGCTACTGCGGAGCCCCTTGCTGGCCGAGAGTCGGCGGTCGCTGCTGCACCGCCCGAGCCCCCTGCTGCACCGCCCGAGGTCCCGGTGCCGCCTGCAGCCCCGCCTCCGCCTGCAGCTGCGCCCGAAGTAGCCGCGCCTTCTCCGCCTGCCGCCACACCCGAGACCCCGGCCGCACTGCTCTGCCCCCTGCAGCACCCGAGATCTCGGCTCCGCCCGCGCCTGTGACTCCAACCCCTGTGAAAAAGATTAAGACCAAGATGAATGAGGAGACATATTATGCATTATTACAAATATTTGAGCAAATAAATATTCTACCCTAGGACCCATAGTATCACACACTTCACTTCAACTTCTGGCCTGATAGCCACGTTTTCTTTAGGCAAGAACACACATAACCAAAGTGTTACATTTCAATGAAATAGTAAATTGAGAGCACAAAAATGTTAATTGTGTGCACGTTGCGTGAGCTTGATTTAGTATTGTGATAACTAGCAGACACAGACATCGAGGCTGCAGGAAATAGATGCGGCAGGTGTATTTGAACAGGAGTGTTCTTTATTCTTAGCCTTTAAAAGGACAGAGTATAAACACCAAATACCAACCACTCCCAACACATACTGCCCACTGTGCTGGCCGTCCCGCCCATTCCAACAACACATGGTGGGCTCACACATATCACTATTTCCAACGATACACATTAACACTGCACATAACATTACAAACAACTCCCCCAGGGCTCTGTCTATACCATCACCGTGTCTGTTACAGATCGTAATGTTTGTGAAAATGTTGTTCATAGTGCAAATGAGAAGAACAGAATATAAATATTTAGACAAAAATATGATCAATATTAATGACACTTTAAGGCGTGGACATTAAGATTTACACAAAGAAATTACATGTCACTTCTATGATTTAGAGCATTCAGATAGAAACAGATTTACTGGCTTTTTACATTCAGAAGTTGATCCGTCTAGTACTGGTTGGTGAGTATAATGGGTCTGCTGGGAATACAGGGCTGTCAGCCCCCTTTCCAGTTCAGATGGAATCTAGTCATATGTTGCTTCCGCCTGATCCTGCTTTTTGACTCCCAAGCTTGTGCATCTATCTGTCTGTCTGTCTGTCTGTCTCACAGAGAGCAAAGCGGGGCTGGCAAAAAAGACAGTTTCCTCATGGGCATCAATAAAGTATCACTATTCACTAAGAAGCGAATTTCCAACAAGATACAGAAATAATCATGAAACTTGTCCAAAAATGTGGGATTTACACTTCACTTGAATTTATAAAATGTGTAAATTTTGAAAAGCATCAGAATATGTTAATGATCTGCTGAAGCTTCCTCTTTTCAATGGTATTTTTAGAAAGTGAAAGAAATGCAGAACACAGAGGAACATTAAACCACAGTGTTTGCAGTTTTATGGTGGTTTACTGATAGTAAGGTCATCATTCTCTCGCAGGGTAAGTGTCTTGAATTGTAGCATTATGAAATATGAATAATTTTGCTGTCAAATGTGATGCTTGGATTCAGGATATCGTGATTTTTAATCGTTGTGTGCATTCTATGACAGCGTGATTTTTAATCGGTCGTGTGCATTCTGTAACAGCGTGATTTTTAATCGGTTGTGTGCATTCTGTGACAGCCTGCCGTGTGTCCTGTGCTGCCTGAGATAAGTTCGGTTTGAACTATTAAGTTTGAAGATGGATGGATGAATAATTATTGTTATATAGTTACATATGAGCCACTTGTGCTAATGGGTTAACCTGTTATTTGTGGTTAGTAGGAATATTTATTTGATGAATATTTAAGGAATATAATTATTTACGGGAAGTGAAGTATGAAGGAGAATGTAATTTAAGCTAAAGTTTTGTAAAATGGGCAGCATGGTGGCTTAGAAAGTATCACCGTTGGCCTGAGACCTTTAGGATCGTGGGTGTAAATCATGCTTGAGTTCTGTGTTTCTGGAGCTGCCATGTTCTCTGTCGCATGGCTTTCTTCCAATATGTTAAATTGCTCTGTACGTCTGGATGGTATGGTATCCCATCCAGGACGAACCCCACTGCAGCCCTTCCTTGGATAATTAGTAATGGAAAATACCCCCACCACCCCCACCACCACCACCACCTCTGGGACCCGGGTTTGAGTCTCTGCCCCACCTCATGTGTGTCTGCATGTTCTCATTCTGGGGTTTTCTCTCAGTACTTCTGTTTCCCTCTATGGTCCAAAAATATGGTGAACTGCAGTTTGTTAAACTTTGAGTTGTGTGAACCCTACTATGGGTTGGTGCCCCATCCTGGGTTATTCCCTGTCTGGTGCCCACGGCTCCTCAGACCCCTGCAGACCTGTGGGTGTAAAATATTGAAGTAATTAAACTTTTTCCCTTTTTCTAAATGAAGGTGCAAAAAATGAAATCATAAATTGTTCGAAATTTGCCCACAGTTGGTCTAAAAATAAAAGGTAATTGTATTTAAATACATCATATCAATATGTTACACAGAGGCATAGAAATGTTCCTGGAAACAGCAGGCAACGTGTGTTTGGTCATCCTACTGTCATTGGCAGGTAAAAAAATGATTATGTTTCAAAAATAATTACTTAGTCATTTGTTCACTTTTTTGTACTTCATTTTTTTTTAACTCACTGAGAATGTCCTGTCAGGATTCACTTTACAGTAGTTCTGCTAGTCTCCATGTCAATAACTCCTTAAGCCCAACAAAATATTTGGTACAAATAACATTTGTAAGCATGTTACAAAGCATGTTCTCAGTATAATGAAATACAAACTCCTGAATGTAACAAACTAGTGCAATATAATTTCATGATGTTAGTTATTGTCATGACCTGCTTTTACGATCCTCGTGTGTGCCACGCCCCCTCATTCCCTACGCGTGCTACCCCGATTGTGATCACCTGTTGCCTGTTATTTTCTGCTTGTCTTGTGTATTTAGTCCGCGTTCAAGTCTGTTTCCCCGAGGTCTGTCATTCTGTTATGACTGCGTGTGGGCGAGCGAGCGGGGAAACACGCAAGAGAGTCATAAATGCGGGTAACGGGGTTTTATTCAGGGCTGACAGGACGACTGGGGCGCACACGGCAAAACACATCAATGACAGACCTGGGGAAACAGACTTGAACGTGGACTAAATACACAAGACAAGCAGAAAATAACAGGCAACAGGTGATCACGATCGGGGTAGCGCGCGTAGGTAATGAGGGGGCGTGGCACACACGAGGATCGTACGAGCAGGTCATGACAGTTATCTCAAAAAATGTGACTACTTAAAGGTTTAGTTATTTATACTTGAGTAACAGCATATTTTGTAAAGTACCGATTATTCAGCAAGTATTTTGTAGATTAGACTAACAGTGAAGTTCAAATTTCACACCAAACTCGTACTGGAAAAATGCCAATACAACTATGTTTTTGTTCTGAGTTATACCTGTTTTCAGATGCCCAGAGTCAGAATGGATGGATTGTGCAGTACCCCTTACAGTCGATATGTATTATGACTGGGAATTCAGTGGACATACCCTGCTGGTACCAAAATCCTAGCAAACAGAAAGTATATAGAACATTCTGGTACAGGTATAAGGATTGGATGCCTGGAGATAAAGACCCTAAGGACCTTGCGTATGACCCAGAGTATCGCGATCGAGTGGAGTACCTTGGAGATAAAAATCACAGCTGTGCATTCAGAATCAAACAGTTGAAACGAGAGGATTCAGATGAATATCGATTTAGGTTTATTACATATTGGGATGAGAGATATACTGTCGCTCCTGGAGTCACACTGTCTGTTACAGGTAAATTGCAATGTCACTATGCTGCCTATAAAAATCGCTGAACTTTTTATGATCAGATTTTTAAAACTGGGTTATATTCTGTGAAGATACACAGGTGGCTGCAAAACAGGAGCTGGAATTTGCTTTGGCGCTGACCTGCAATACCGACTGTCCACATGGAAATGTAATGTATACCTGGTTTAAAAATGGACACCAGCTACAGGGAGAATATTTGGATAATATATACATCCACATCCAAAACAAAGAAGATACGAAGAAATACTCCTGTGCTTTTCAAGACAGAAAAGGGTCCAGTTTACAAGAAAGTATCTACGTTATCTGTAAGTGAATTGTTACATTTAAAAATTATTGAACTGAGATACTAGCCATAATCAAATGTATCAAAATATACCCGATTAATATTCTGCTAATAACTAATTTGTTAAACTTCATATATTCATATATTCTTTTATACTTCTGAAGCAGACCATTACATCCAAAATAATGTTCTAGTAAGTATGTAACATAAATATTGTATTATATTCAAGTATTTATTCGAAATGATTTGTCTCAGTATATTAGTTATATTTTATTCAGTTTTATATGACTATCAACATATTCTAAATATACTGCAAGTATATTTAATATTATACTCTATGATTGGAGGCGATGTTTAGTTTTCTTCTGCTATCTTTGGTGATACACCTCATCCTAGATGTGAGTATAATTAAGCACAACCATCAATATCTGGGCTAAGTTGCATGCGATTTTGTATTATAGAATTAAAATACATCAGTCCCTAATCCATTTGCTCATTCTGGTCTGGGTCACTAGGGGGCCTGGAGCCTATCCCAGACAGCACAAGGCAGGTCTACATCCTGGATGGGATGCCAGTCTATGACAGGGCACTGACACACACACATTCACATATAATAACAGGGGAAACAACATCTAAGCTCTACACACACACCGCAGCAGGGCAAAAATCCCCAAACACCGTGGAGGTGTGAGGTAGTATAACACACAACAAATAGATCAGCGAGACATTTATAGTCAGTGCCTGTGTTCAAGTCTAATGCTAATGCTTGAGATCAATAAAGTATTATCTAACCTTGTCTTCCAGATACAATGATTGTCAATCCCCTTGGTGAAATAGTGGAAGGCAATTCAGTGATTCTGATCTGCAGAAGCAATGCCACGGCATCAGAAAACAATTACAAATGGTATAAAAAGAATGGGATTCACGCACATGAGACGAAGTCATCAAAGACGTTGATCATCAAAGACATCAAACCTGAGCACAGTGGGCACTACTTCTGCGGAATATGGTCTATAACTTCTACAGAGGTGTACATAAATGTTCAGTGTAAGTAAATTAAATGTCAACATTTCAAAAGGATTCCATAGATGAAGACATAGTTCCAAACATAATATCCATATTTCCTCAATAACAATGTGCAGCAGTAAACAGCTAATTAGCATTCTACATAAATCTACTTGTGGAATATATTTTCAATGTCATTCTCAATTTATCATGCTAATACTGATAAACGGAATAAAAACAGAATCTCACTGATTGTCTCACCATTACTGCCATCAACTCTGAAGACAGTGGGCAAAATTACCCGGGAATGAACTTTGTAAACCTGTGCCTTTAAATTTTCTGCATAAATAAAATAACATGTAAACATCACATAATGATACAAGTAAGAACACATTATGCACTGAATTATTTTAAAAATATCCTTGTATTTTCTCCAGATGCCCCAAAAAGCATTTCAGTGATAGCGTTTCCCTCTGTGGACTTGAAGGAACGTGATTCAGTGACTATGACCTGTGGTGCTAAAGCCAACCCAGAAGTTAAGAGATACACCTGGTTTAAGAAGAATGGAGAGGAAATCATAGAGCTTGGTTCAGGGAATAATTACACCATCACTAACATCACCTCTAAGGACAGTGGACCGTACTATTGTTCAGGACAAAATAGACATGGGACTATTAACTCTAAATTCTTATCTGTGAATGTACAGTGTGAGTATTGTGAATTTTTCTTCTTCAAAAAAATTACTGTGGAACTTCATTTTATTATGTAGCACGTAACGTCAAACATACTCATTGAGAAGAAGAGCCAAATTTACTGTCTTAAGTTTAAGAGAAGTACAGTTGGATTGTCATACAGTTGGATGTTTCTCGCTATGCAGCACAGAATAAAATGACTAAACATATCATTTTGGTTTTAGATGTATGTAAACATCATATAATAATACAAGTAAGAACATATTATGCAATGAATTAATCAAAAAATATTTTTATATTTTTTCTAGATGCCCCAAAAAACATTTCAGTGATAGCGTTTCCCTCTGTGAACTTGAAGGAACGTGATTCAGTAACTCTGACCTGTGGTGCTAAAGCCAACCCAGAAGTTGAGAGATACACCTGGTTTAAGAAGAATGGAGAGAAAATCATAGAGCTTGGTACAGGGAATAATTACACCATCACTAACATCACCTCTAAGGACAGTGGACCGTACTATTGTTCAGGAGAAAATAGACATGGGACTATTAACTCTACCTACTTATCTGTGAATGTACAGTGTGAGTATTGTGAATTATTCTTCTTCAAAAAATTACTGTGGAACTTCATTTTATTATGTAGCACGTAACATCAAACATACAAGAGCCAAATTTAATGTCTTATGTTTAAGAGAAATACAGTTGGATTGTCATACAGTTGGATGTTTCTCGCTATGCAGCACAGAATAAAATGACTAAACATATCATTTTGGTTTTAGATGCTCCCAGAGAGTTCTCAGTGTCAGTGAGTCCCTCTGGTGGAATAATGATGGGTGATTCAGTGACTCTGACCTGCAGCGGCGATGCAAACCCACCAGCTAAGAGCTACCAATGGTTTAAGGATGAAATCTTAATCTCACCAGGAGTATCAGGGCAGAATTACACAATAAATAATATCAAATTTGAACACAATGGACGCTATAAGTGCAATGCAACGAATGACATTGGATCTCATTTCTCACCTGCTGTGTTTATCTTTGTAGAAAGTATGTTTACGTCTTTCTGATAGCAGGGGGTGTTCCACAAAGCAGGATGTATTGCTTTGCTGGGTAACTTTTCAGATTTAAGGTAGACTGGGCTAGATGTAAGTGAACAAAGATAAAGTCCATTTAGCTCAGACTACCTTAAATCCGAGAAGTTATCTGGTTAACCAAGAAATCCTGCTTCGTGGAACACCCCCCAGGTCTATATAATAAAAATATAATTTTACTAATATCTAATCTTCTCAGCTCATAATAGCTTATATGATGTATTTCAGTGATCTATGGAAAAATTGAAAGGGGCAGTTCACCCCTAAACTGATGTCTGATTTTAGTTGTACTTGCCAACTTGGACAATTTCACTCTAAAACATTAAACGGTCTTATCATTCAGTCAAAGAGACCTTACTGTTTTGAGATTGATATTGAGTTTCATTTATCACTTATTATAAATGCTGTCTCATACTTTTACCCAAATAGCAGCAATATATCTTATTTATATGGGAGGTCATATCTGTACGTATTTCTTTGCTTTTACTCAGGAGAAACAGCAGCTATCATTGGGACGACGGTTGGAATTGCAGCTGTTGTGGTTCTTGTGGTTGTGATGACACTAGTGTGGAAGATGTGAGTATGTACAACTCATTTCATGGTAAATCCACTTCATTTACACTCAGAGGAAGCATGTGACTTGGGTACACGGTTTAGGCAAAAAGCTGTAACTATACTGCAGATACTCTCTGGGACCTAATGCAGCAATAGGAAAGCCCTTCTGTAAAAATGTTGTAATGCTTTCTTATTCCGACCATTATAATGCGATACGAAGGTATCTATAATGCATTACTGATGATAGTTTCAAGTGTTACCAATACTTCTATCTAATTGAATTATAAGTTAATTTTAAAAATTCTTTTAGAATTTTCTTATACTGATCTTAGACTCGTGGACACTATATATTCATTCATTAATTATTTATTTATACCCTGTATTCATCTGTGCATTGCTGGTTTTTACTTTCTTCTTCTTCCAATTTCATAGTTAAAAAAGAGGATTTATGCTTGACTAGTTGAACAATTAGTGTTGGTGTAAAGGGGCACAGATGTTCTCGTAAAGCATTTGTAAGGCATTCAACCGTAGTAAAACATCATGTCTCCATTCTTTACTAAATTAATAACTAAATTACTATTTATTTGTAAAAGGGTTGTTACATTATTATTATTATTGTCATTACTGTTAATATGTGAGAAAGCATATCTCGTAACTGTTATATATTTGCTGTAAATTAGTCTATAAAAAGATCTAAAGGCAGTTATTCCATCACGACATTTACTTCCTTTGAGAATACAGTCCCTCTCAGAAGACTTAAAACTAGTACAGGGGATTTTCTAATAATCCCCCAGAGTATTCATACTTATATACATTTCAGTCATTTAACTATTTAGGACTGAGTTAAATAACCATATAAGAAAATTCATTTATCAAAGATCAATTAAAATTATCAGGTTTTTTTTTTTTTTTTTTTACAGCACTTGGTCCTTAAGGTTACTGTAATATGAATTTAAACTAATAACATGAAAAGTTATTTGCAAATCAAAGATGCATTTAATATTTATAAAACATTAGGTTTATAAAAACAATCAACACCCAACGATTCCTCAGTAACTCTTTTCGCTTTTCTGTTTTCTTTCAGAAGCAAACATTCACAATGTAAAAAAGATACAATAGGAGAAATGCAGCGCAAGGTAATTTTTCTGTAACTGTGTAACAATCAACATATATTGTACAGGGGTGTCTCTTCAGAATATGATGATGGCTGTGTTTCTCTTTTGGTAAAATCCTGGTTTCTCCTGTATGGAAATGGCCAATTATTCCCTTTCTTGTAGTCCCTCCTAATGTAATACAACCGACACAGGGAGGTGAGGACCTCACATGACATACAGCATTGCGCAAAAGATCGCCAAAAAATGTTCATCGGGTTATTTAATTAATGTTAATTAATGAAATGAGCTGGTGGTGCCCATGTTAGAGGCCAAATGACGTTCTTCTAGTCATCAAATCAGTAACTTTTTGTAGAAGAAATTCTTTATAATACTTTATATAAATATTTATAGCTATGTATATGAGATGTCATATTTCATGTTATATTTCATTCGCATATATTCCATTTATATATGATTTATTTCAGAGCAAATACACACTTGCTGCCCAGATAAATGTAACATTTTCTGTGACAGTCCAAAGAGCTGAGGTGCTGGTTCGCCCTGTTGTCTCACACCTCTGGGACCCGGGTTCAAGCTCCTGTTTGGGTTCCATGTGTGTTGGGTCTCCCTGTCTTGTTGTGTGCCTATAGACTCTGGACTCCTCTCAACTCTGAATTGGATCTGTGGTTACAGAAAATGAAACGACTGGTCAAGTAATCAACTTCCTCCTTTTTGTCAGAACAGCATCATCAAGCAAAAACTAAAAAAAAAAACTGTTTCTTTACCACTTCCAAGCTTCCCTTGGTAACCCATGTTTCACATCACAATGATATGAATTGTGGGTAATTCTTGCAGCCAAAGTTTGCAGAAATGCAGACTTACAGATAGTGTGCATAAAGGCTTCAAAATGACTGCGAAAGAGCCCTGATGCACTTGATGATTTGACAGTGGGCCCTAAGTTCTCAACGTCTTAGTGGGAACGTCCCTCAAAGTCCGTGCATCTATGAATGTGGATGTTGGGATTGGGCCAATGGGTTTATGCTTGTGACCAAAAACCTACCTCTCCTCACTGGATTGAAAGTTTTTCTTACATTTATGTTTTACACTTGGAGAAGAATATTATTTTCTCCACCGGCATCTCCAGATGGGCAAAGGCATGGCTACAAAGGGATAGAGTGACCCATAGAGCCAAATCAGTTTGACTGCTGATTCTACGTCATGATAGAAATGGTAGCTGTACAGAATATATCTGTTGCTCACTTTATTGGTTTCTTATTATTTAGGACACTGCAAATCCGGTGTATGCCAATATCTCAGAAATGGCTCCCAACGTCATTGAAATACAGGAAGAAGCACTGTACTCCACTGTTCAGCATGACAAGTCCAGAGACAGGGAACAGGTTCAGTACATGAGTATTTCTGAGCCTTGTGATCCCAATGTAGACGAAGTTCAGTATTCCACTATTCAGTTCCCCCTCTCCAGTGTTACATCCGGGTAAGAACCATGTTTATGCTTCTTAAAAAGTTTGTAAAAAATAAATACAAATATCTTACTTATAGATATTTTTCTCTTCAAGAAAAAAACTAGAAAGATTTGATCCTTAATATATTTTTCCCCTCTTTCAGGACACCAGTTCAAATGCTTACAGATGCTTCTGCCATCTACAGCACAGTTTCCAAACCTTGAGATCTTTATTTAACTTCAGCCCTTTTGTGGTAGATCAAGCTTCCCCCTCAGCCTCCTCCTACTTCTCAAAGACATATTCTCATCCACATCCCAGCGAATGTCCTCCCTTGCAATGCAGTGTGGGAAATACCTCCTTGAACGTCGAATCCACCCCTCTGCAGGACTCCGCTGTGATGTCATCACATGCTGCATCCATGGCAGCAAGCAGGGTCATCTGTGTCTGCGTATCTGTAAGGAATGGAGAATAGGGTGGGAGGAAGTCCACTAGCATTCTGTCATGTGCCGCAAACCACTGTCTGATCCCATCTGCATGGTGAAAACGTACATGATCCCAAACAACATATTTATGGAGGCCATTTCTAAGCAGACCCATTTCTCAGAGATGATATCCCTGTATAGCGTGTTTAAAAATGTCAACAGATGTTGGGTGTTGTATGGACTAACAAGCGGAATATGGGTGAGGACTCCATTGTCAGAGAAGGCTGCTGAGATGGATGTTTCCCCCTCGCCTTGTGTAAATGAACATACGTTTTCTCTTCTACAGCTGAAGCAAATGTTTAGGGTCTTTATACTGTACCTGTACTATATGGGACTACACAAAGTACTGCTTACTGTACATTACAGTATGCACAAAATGCTTTACCTGCATACTCACAATGGAGCTCCTTTCAAACTGTAAAGCTGCTTCATTCGCATCTAATGTCTCTTCAGCACCCTGTCAATTGTTGAGATGCTCACAGAATTGTTGGTGTTAAAGACATTGACAGACTTTCTTTGCATCTCCCGCAGTTTGATAGCATTATTTGCTATCACCATGGTGCAAATGGCTTCCTCCCGTTCAGGGGCCCATTTCCACTGCTGTGAGGTAGTGTTGCTGTCCTAGGTGATACGGTACAATAGAGTAAAATTACAGGACTGTAAAACAAGATTCACTAAAGCTATATTTGCATATCATATTTACAGCACTGTGATGTAAACATGGTACAATTCCTAACTACTGTAATACATGACAGTACAGTACAGCAGTGGTCCCCAACCGTTTTGTCACCACGGACCGGTTTTATTCCTTTAACATTTCCGCAGACCGGGTTTGGAGCGGGAGCGGAGACGTGCAACCATAAACACTGAGATAAAAAAATGAGGGCCGCAATATTTAACTAATCACCATGTGTGTTGACTTATCGCCCCCTATGAGCCACAGATGGAAGTGTTACCCAAATAAAACAGTCTCTGTTAACCGTTCGCCGCGGCCCGCTACAAAATGCTAAACGGCCCGGTACCGATCCGCGACCCGGTGGTTGGGGACCCCTGCAGTACAGCATCAGCTAGATGAGTAAATGTAAATTCAAGCAACATTCCTAGCTATACTGTACTTTGCTTTACTAGTATACAAATTATACACTATAGCAGTAGTGTATATACAGTGAACATTACCTCATTGGATTACACACACGTGTGCTCCCAATGAAATGTCTGTATTATTGAGGACACTGTCGTCCTCCCAACATATTTGGCCGCACTCTGTGACCAGCCTCAGTCATTGTAAGACCATGATTGATGACATGGTCTGCAACTGTAGCCCTTAATTCATCAGGAACAGGTCCCCTGATCATTCTCCGCATCCTTAAAACTGTAAATGAGCTGTAGATGTCCATGATTTACTTTGTTTCTCGAGTTTTGCCTGCTGCCACTCATATTACTGTTCAAGGAATTGCCCTTGGTCTGAATGGAAAATATTTTTTAGCAGAAATTGTGTCTGTAGAAATCACTGATAGCTGTTCTGTTTAGATATAATTTGTGTGATATGTAATATGACTGTTGTCCCACTGTAGTAATATGCAAATAGAAAGTTAGCAAATGCATTGTAAAATAATTTAAAACTGATGTAAGGCACATAAAACCAGTAATGATTGTCACGCTAGATATGAAATGGTCTTGCTTGATAGAACTCTGATTAAAATGAATACTGCTCCAAAAATATCTTGTTAAAAATCTTTATTTTTGGTCATAGACTATTTACATGCCTTTACAATTAATCACTGATTTAATATTTATCAATTTCAGCATAGAACAGAAAAATAAAGGTACTTTGTTTATTTCAGTGGTGACACTCATAGGTTTTCACATCCCCCACCTTGAGACAGATGTATAATACAGTACACGTGTATAATGCACATTCAGAGCAGGAAAATGGATTGTAAAATCTAAACTACTGTGACACAAATCATTAAGTCATTTGGATAAATTACATAAGTAACTTTAAGCTATAGCTTACTTGAAACCTCTTCAGAGATGCTCTCTCTAGAAATCATCTACTTTTTCAAAGAAAATAGATATCATTTTATATCCAATATCCAAGTCTACCATAAAGAGAAGATTGCATGAAAGCAAATACAGAGGGTTCACTGCAAGATGCAAGCCACTCCTAAGCCTTAAGAATAGAAAGGCTAGATTGGACTTTGCAAAAAAAAAAAACATCTAAAAAGCCAGCACAGTTCTGGAACAGCATTCTTTGGACAGATGAAACCAAGATCAACCTGTATGAGAATGATGGAAAGAAAAAAGTATGGAGAAGGGCTGGAACAGCTTACGATCCAAAGAACCCCGCATCATCTGTAAAACATGGTGGAGGCAGTGTGATGGCTTGGGTGTGCATGGCTGCCAGTGGCTGCCAGTGGCACTGCGTCTTTAGTGTTTCTTGATGATGTGACACAGGATGGAAGCAGCCGAATGAATGCTGAGGTGTTCAGAGACATCATGTCTGCTCAGATCCAGCCAAATGCAGGCAAATTCATTGGGCGGCGTTTTATAATACAGATGGACAATGACCCAAAACACACAGCAAAAGCAACCCAGGACTTTATTAAAGCAAAGAAGTGGAATATTCTCGAACGCCCAAGTCAGTCACCTGATCTCAACCCCATTGAGCATGCATTTCACTTGCTAAAGACTAAACTACAGACAGAAAGACCCTCAAACAAACAGCAACTGAAAGCTGCTGCAGTAAAGGCCTGGCAGAGCATTAAAAGGAGGAAACCCAGCGTCTGGTCATGTCCATGAGTTCAAGACTTCAGGCAGTCATTGTCTGCAAAGGGTTTTCAGCTAAGTATTAGAATTGAACATTTTATTTGCAGTTATATTCATTTGTCCAATTACTTATGAGCCCCGGAAAGGAGGGGATTGTGTAGAAAAATTACTTTAGTTCCCCACATTATTATGCAATGTTTTGTTCTACCCACTGAATTAAAGCTGAAAGTCTGCACTTCAACTGCATCTGACTTGTTTCTTTTAACATGTATTGTGGTAATGTACAGAACTTAAAAACTGAAAAACTTTGTCTCTGTCCACATATTTATGGTCCTGACTATGTACAGCCCTTTGCAGCTGTTACAGTATGTCAGAATGGAGTGAGTATGTGACACCAGCCAACGGTACGGAAGCTTTAAGAACGCATATCATTTAACCAGAGAGGTAATCTCGTTTTAGCGAATAACTTTGAGAGAAGATGTAAATTATGCAGTTAAGACGTAACAGAAGAATACTTAAAGAAATATATCTAAACGAAAAATAATAATAACCCATAAACAAATTACTTATCTTTACGAAAGTACCATCATAATATGTTATGACATGAAAATATGAATTCGTCTATTGTTCTGAGAAGAGCCGCAGCTACGTGGTAAAATTGCCGCGTGCGGCTCGCGAGCCGCAGGTTGCCGACCCCTGCTTAGCCGGTTATCGGTACCCGCCACATCGGTGCATCACTGGTTGCTCTCCGCTCAGTCTTGCGGTGGCTCTGTGGGCAGCGCTGTAGCCTCATACCCCCAGTACTTTCGAAGTAGTAGGTTCGAAGCTTGTGTATTTATAGTCCCTTTCTTCATGCGCGGAGCTCCCTTGTTCACCCGCCTATGCAATTAGGTGAACTAGCAGTCCTGAAATTTCCCGGTATCCAGGGTTCTGTGCAGGCGTCCTCCTAACCTGTGTCCTGAGCTTTCGTGCATTTATTAATAATTAACCATAAAAGTAACCCTATAGTCGTTGTCAGCGCTTGCAGTTTCAAGATGTGTTATATACCGATTTAATTCGGGGAGACTACACCTCGAACAGGGATGCCGCAAGGCACCAGCCTGAAACACAGTTCAGTGTACACTGCGTGTCTGAATTGGGGGAGGATGAGGGGGTGTTAAGGGGAGCCGGCTCACGAACACGGGAAGAACTGGGGGGGGGCAGATCCGAACCCGCTATCCCAGCCACGGTACTACAGGATTTAAATCAGGAAGATAAAACCCGTCCATGGTACAAAATGACTTAGGGCTTTGTAAATTTCAAGTATGGAAACAGGGATGTGTTGCGAAACGTGGCCAAAGAAAAGCTATATCATGCCCGATGTGTTTACATCAATGAGATCGCTGACTGGAGCCCGATTTTGTGGACCTTTCATTAGCAGTAATGCTAAAGGTACAAACTAAGTGGAAAGGAAGAGAACCGAAGTCCGATTGCGGAGCTAATTGTTCATTTCTCGATACGTAGACAGATGTCTAGTATTTGAAATGAAAGGTTACATATATTTCACCAGCCCCTTCCGCAAATCCGCTAACCAACGCAAAACGGTTAGCACTTTAGCCAGGGCTGGGAAAACCCGACGTACTGGGTGCACTTTCGTGGGGCTGCTATCAGGGAGGAGGGGTGGGAGCCTCACTCCACGTGTCGTCAATCAGTTTCGCAAAAGCATGCAAGCACCGTGGCCCTCTATAGGTGATGACAGCCCCCAGCCCAGCTGTAAAGCATGCTTGATGATGCCTAGCGTGACGGATCGAGGGGCGGTGCGCTCATCGGCCTGGTCGCGGGCTCGGCGGCTCTGCTGATGTGCCTGGAGACGCACACGTGGTCGGCGCACTTTCGATTTCGCCCAGTCTTTTCAATTAAACGCACTTATTAAGTTTTGTTTCCTGTCACCCCTACATCTCTGCCGGGAGTCCTTGGTGAGCCACCGATAATCGGTCCGTTTTACTTCGCCGTGCTGGGATCTGCCTTTCTTTCCAGATTCGTTCATACAGGGCGCCGTAATGCGCCACGTTTCGCCCCTGATAAGCTGCTAGCCGTGTCTCGTTGGTTTGCTCCGAATTTGTAGCTGACTTGGGCCGCTTGCAGCCGACTACGAGGCACCGGCGAAGTTCTACGGTGAGGCATTTACTTTCATGAGTCGCTCTTACGGCCTAGCAAAGAGGCTCACATTGTTGTCATCTGATCTTCTTAATAGGTACAAGTTGTTCTTCTATGGATAGTATTCGTAGGTAAATCTGTTTTTTTTTTTTTCTTTTTTCTTCTGACTTTGGCGATTCGGCTTTCAGAGACGCGACATTACCACCTAACCATAACGCTTCGACGTTGGCTTCAGGACGGCACTGACGGTAAGTATCCTAGGAGTGGCTCTGTCCAGGATTCACTACTTACTCCTATCGTGGTCAAACTTGGCGTGGTATAAAACCGTTAACTGTGAACATTTATTGACAAGTCTGTGAATCCAGTCAGAGGCATGACCTGTGGGAAATCCAAACTGGTCATGCGCTGCTTCTTCTGTTAAGGATGCCTTTTCTTTATTATTTGAACAGATTTACTTGCTTGAGGGGTCTGTTCTTGCCATTCCTTCATTGAACACAACAAACTTTATTTAGTTAGGACCATAACTGCCGAGAAAGAATGTGTTAAATCAAATACTTTTTCCCTTATTGTTGATGAGTTGGTCTCTCTCTACTCCTTGTTCAGCATGTTTACTTTTTGCAGAAATAGGCTTCAAGGACTGTATGGAGACATGGAAACTACTGTAGATCAAAGTAAGTTTATTATCCAAATGGCCTTCATATATGTTTTAATCTTACCCATATATTTATGGATTCAAACGTGAACTAGCATAATAAAAATCATATAATTATAAAAATTAATATATTCATATATATATAATATATATATGATGAAATGAAGAGAATATCGAAACTAATTTCACGCACAGTGGTGCTTGGGAAATAGAAAATATTAATGTATATTTTTGGGGGGAGTAATACTGATTCTTAGTGAATCGTCTGCAAAGGTAGTTCATATATATTGATGTTAGTTTGAAGGCTAGGAATGTAGAAGTTGGTCTGTTGGTTAAGTCTGATGCTGAGCACAGGGTCTGACTCTAAAGATAAGTGCTTGTCCGGTTCTTTGGCTGCCCCTGACCCCGTGCGCTTGGTGCAGCAGCTTGGCCCAAGGAGGACCTGTTAAAGCTGCTCGACTGCATGAAGGAGAAGCTCCCGCAGAATGACCTTAGCAGGTTCAAGACGATGGAGTCGCGCCTGGACTGGGATAAGGTGGCGTTTGGGCCTTATTCAGGAGAGACCTGCAAGCAGAAATGGCAGGCGGTGTCACGAGAGGTGAGCAAATGTAGTTCAGGTGTGTGGAATCGGCTATCAAGTATCCTGAAAGTGTATAAACATTCAGAAGTCTGTTTAATGGTCTACATCAGGGGTGTCAAACGCCAGTCCTGGGGGGCCGGAGCCCTATGCATTTTTGGGTTTCCCCTCATTTAACACACCTGATTCAACTCCTTGCACCTCCTTGTGCTAATTACCACACAGCTCTTGAGCTGAATCATTTGTGGTGGAACAGGACTGGAGTTTGACACCCCTGGTCTACATTCTGTTACACCAGATCTCTAAATATTTTGCTTGCTTGTCAATAATGATGACTTTTTGCAAGACGTTTTAACTGACTTTGTTTTATGGTGGATGCTTCAAACTGTATAAGAAATGCCCCTTTTGTTTGATTGCTGTGAGATGTGACTCTGAACTCTCATGTGATTCAGGTACGCAAATATCGCACTTTGTCTGAGATGATTGTCGGCGCTGAAGACTTCATCAAAAACCCCCAGAGAAGCAGAAGGGCTCAGGTAGTATAGGAGGGTCGATTTAAAACCTAGTGCTGTTTTACCAAGATTACTCTCCCAATAATCCAGAATATACTTTTGTATTTTATTTTTTTCTCCCTCAGAGACACCCAGATTTCCCGAAAAAGCCCCTGACGGCTTATTTGAGGTTCTTCATGGAGAAAAGGGCAAAATACGCCAAGCTGCACCCTGAACTGAGTAACATGGACCTCACCAAGGTCCTCTCCAGGAAGTACAGGGAGCTTCCAGAGCGCAAGAAGGTCAGCAGTGAAGGGATCCAGAGGAAGAGAACTTTTTAGGGATGGTCTTCATATAGTGAAGGTTGTTAGAAAGATTGTCACAAGTGATAGAACCATGATAGTGTGGAGAGCATCTGCGGCCAAACTTTTCTGAACTGTTGAATCTAATAGTAGCTGAGCTTAGCAATAAAGCATTAGCATGCCGGTCAGTAATAAATGCATGAAAGCTCAATGTTTTTGTCTGCATGAATATCCTTTATCTTACAGGCGAAATATGTGCAGGAGTTTCAAAGAGATAAAGAAGCCTTTGAACAAAAAGTGTTGAAATTCCGGTGAGGTGTCATACGATATTCTTTGATGTGAGGGAACGTCAATGAATTGCAGATGGCTGGTCACGTTCTACTGCAGAAGTTTTCATCCTGTGTGTTATTAATCTGTTCTGATTGCTAAGGGAGGAACACCCAGATGTAAACGTAAAGAACAACATTCCCGAGAAACCCAAGACGCCTCAGCAGCTTTGGTACAACCACAAGAAGAAATCCATCCTCAAGACCCAGCCAGACGTGAGTGATTGTTACTATGGTTTCCTTTTTATAAAAGTGTTGCCGTAGGTGTTATACAAAGTGATATTAATCTGTCTGGAGCATGAATATTTGCAGAACATCATTGCAGTAGCACTTTGTATTAACTATACCTTCATAATGCTTTTATAATATATTTGTAGAACATTCAGTGCACCTTCATAATGCATTCATAGAATGTTCATATGCACCTTCATAATGCATTCATAGAACATTTATAAGCAGCATGTAAGTATACCTTACCATCATGGCATACCTTAACAGATTTAATGTATATTAATAACAAACATCATGATATGTATATTAAAGCTAAGGTATACTTACAGTACCAGTCAAATTTGGACACACCTAACCATTGAAAGGTTAATTTGTAGTATTCTTTACATAACAGTAAAGAGTTTTATATTGTATAAAAATTAACTATAAAATAACCATATATGGGATTATGCACACCGGCCAAGAAAGTAAACCAAAAAAAAAAAAAAGTTGTGGGGGTCGTAGCTCTGTGGGTTTGGAATCAGAAGGTTGCCAGTTCAAATCCCATGGTCAGCAGAGTGATGCCACCATTGGGCCTTTGAGCAAGGCCCTTAGCTCCAGTGGCTCCAGGGACTGGCTGACCCTGCGATCTCCTTTAGGCCACTTTCATGAGGTGGCCTCCTGGGATGCCTTCCCAGCTGAAGGAGGTCCCGCAAAAATGCTGACGACTCCTCTCTGGTTAAACTTCTCCAAAACCATTTCTACTGTTTTTAGGTCAGGTGGCCAGCTCATGAGCTACGATAGAATTACCACCTAATTCATGTCAGGGAGGACACTATGGGCTAGGATAGGCTAAGCAAAGTACCATTTCAATTAACAAGACCTGGATTTCACTTTAGCACTGAGTTCTTGCTGCGTTCTGATTGGTCGGTTTCCTGTAATCATGCACGTGTCACTAATGTTAATGTGAAACAGCTGGATGCGTCTTTCAATCAAGGAAACGAACCGGTCCAATCGCTTGAAGAATTGAACTATTTAGCCAAGCACAGGAGCATTTGTTTTTAAGTTTGTAAATCCTGAAGTAGCTCATAGTGTCCTTCCCTGGCATGGATCAGGGGTCACCCTAAATGTGACACTATCACTGTCCCTTGTAAGCAGCTTGGCGTGTATGAACTCTTGACTGGTACTGTACATGTTGCTTATGAATGTTCTATCAATGCAGAAGGTGCACTGAATATTCTATGACTGCATAATGAATGCATTATGAAGGTGTGATAAAACATTACCTGTTACTTCCACTTATTTTCAGCATGTAGTATGTACTTGCCAGTATGGCAATTTGTTGTGGCATGTATGCATTCTGAGACGTACGCATTGGAATAGCATGAATTTCATTCTGTCCAGGCAAACGCTAAGGACATCAGGGACAGGTTGCTGAAGCAGTGGACACAGCTGTCGGACAAAAAGAGGCTGAAGTGGATCAACAAGTCCCTGGAGCAGCACAGAATATACGAGGTGAGACACTTTAGTGATGCATTTTATTTATTTTTTTTGTCTTGGTCCTTGTGGAGATCAACCAAACTTCAACTTGTGCCCGTTGTCCAGGAAACCATGCGCGAGTTCATCCAGCAGCATCCGGAGCTCAACCTCTCTGATAGGGACATCAAGAAGACCACTCTAACCAAGGCTGAGAGGCACCTGAAGGACAAATCTGACGGCCGGCCTGAGAAACCTCCAGTGTGAGTTACTCCGCCGCTCTCCATGGTAGCACAGGCGGCTGATTGTCCCCTTATGGGATGGAAAAGTGTGGGCCACAGATCGGAACACCTTAGCCTGCCAGCCGACCTCCGCTCTGTGTCAATCGTGGGGGTTTTACGTACGCGTTTTTGGCGTGCCAGATTTTGTGATGCTGATCACAGAAATAACTTATATTCACATCACATAAGGTTTTTGAGAAACCTTTTTGAGAAAGCGCTATAAGTCTATTTTACAGAGTTTGCAGGCTATAACATGTTTGGACATGTTGTGACACAATCCTGCTCTCTCTGATATGGGGAAAAATGGTGTCAAGGCAAGTGGAATCCCAGCTGACTTCTGTTGGACCCTTAAGAGGGATATTCCTGAGGCCAAATACAGCAGAAAATCTTACACTTCTACCTTTTTACACGAGTCACTTCCATCATGCACATATACTGTAAATATACATGTAAAGTTTAAATGTGTGTTACTCAAAATCCTTCTGTGATTGGGTAAATTCTGATTAGATAATGAACTCTGCACAAACAATACTGTAAGAATTTCTTATTTTGATATGGTTAACAAAAAGTAAGTTTAAAAATTTGTTGCCCAGTGTTATCTCTGTGACCCAATCATTTTTCGTTCTGCCATTACACAAACATTTTTGTGTAAGTTTTTAAAATCCCATGAGCTGCAATGGTCCATGTTTGTGACCACGGACAATGAATCTTCCACACGCTCCCCAGAAACGGCTACGCCTTGTACTGCTCGGAGGCTGTATCTAGCATGAAGGACATGCCGCATCCCAAACGCTTGACGATGTGCAGGCAGCAGTGGAAGAGGTTGGACCGGAGTGACCGGGACAGCTACCAGAAACTCTGCGAGCTGGTGAGCGTGTGAACGTCGTAAAAGGTCTGACGTGCACATGGATGCGTCACCAGGCTCTCGTGCAAAGCTGAGCTGGGTTCTTTAATGTTGGAAAGGTTACTTACCCAGCATAATAAAATGTAATGAAATATAACCTACAAAATCAATATTTTTATCTTGAATGACCTGAAATTCTGGAATTTTGAATTCTAGCTGCCTTTACTAATTCAGTTATCTAGCATTAATCTTTTTTTTTTTTTCTTTCCCTTTTTAGAAAAAGAAGGAATATGAAGTTGAAATGGATCGCTTCCTCTGTGTGAGTTCTGATTGTCTGTGCGATTGTATCCCTCCCATCCAATCAAATTTGAGACCCATTCCTTATTTTTTTTCCCCCTCATGGCCCCGAATTACTCTCTAAGGACATGAGAATAAAGAGAGCATTGTGATGTAATATTTTTATTGTGATTCTTAATAGTCAATTACACCTTGGTGTCTGCCGTTCCCTGGATCTGCTCTCGTCCTCGTTCCTCTCAGAGCCTCCCAAAGGATCAGCAGCAGCGGGTCCAAGGAGAGTTGGAGGCACTGGGGGACTTGAGGAAGAGTAACAGCAGCAGCCCCGCTTCCAAGGAGACGTCCAAGGCCATGGTGAGAGGGCTTGAGTGCCCCCTACTGGCACTCCCAAGCAATCCTCCACTTTTTCAGTGGAAACTCGCATCTGTTGGTCTATTCTGGCACCCTTGCATTTTAGGCCACTGATGGTGTGAAGTGTCAGCTCTCCGCTCTCCGCTCTCCTTAACGTGCATTTAGTGAGAGCATGCCGACGGACTTTGACTTTCATCTGCAATTCTCCCTGTTTCTCCAGAGCCTGTCACCCAAGCAAAGACCTAACTCCAATGACCGTCATTCCTCTGTAAGTGCAGAAGACCAGTCCTCCTGAAACTAGGGTGGGAGGCTGGGACTAGCGACCTTAGGATGTGCGTCGGAACAGCCTATTAAAGCTCACAAGAGAGAACCCCATTACAGATTCTCCTCGACTTACGATGGAGTTGCATTCCGATAAACCCATCATAAGTGGAAAATATCGTGTGTCAGACATGAATGGTATAATTAGTTTAAATAATTACTGTAAATACCAGTAATTGAAAGAAGTACATTATTTGGTTGAAAACAGAAAAAAAATTGTGCATTATGTCGTTAGTTAAACACTACATGAGATTTTTGCGCTTAGCATCGCTAAAGAGACTGGAACCGTAGATGTTGCCGTCACCCGGCATCAGGAGAAAATATCATACAGCGTACTGTTAGCCCCAGGACAGATCAAAGCGTGTGGCTTATTGAATGCGTGTTTCTGTTCCTCTATCGTAAAATCAAAATATCGTAAGACGAACCATCGTACATCAGTACTTGATTATTGCCTGACAGGCAGTGAAACTTGCCCAGATGAATACTGTGTTCACCTGTCCCTCACCCTCTTATCTAGACACCCAGGAAGCCTATCTCGGCCCTTTTCATCTTCTCGGAGGAGAAGAGGCCCAAGCTGCAGAGGCAGAGGCCAGAGCTGTCCGACAGCGAGCTGACGTGTACGTTAGCCAAGATGTGGAACGAGCTCCCCGACAAGAAGAAGGTACAGTATGGCACTTTGGTGCCATGCGGACGCAGCCCTGCCACCTGCAGGCCAGTCTTTCTGCTCCTCATTTGTACCCTAGATGGGCGCCATGTGGCTCATTGCATTAGGATGATGTGGTTGTGATCAGAAGGTCACTGGTTCAAATCCCTGGGGTGTTTCTCAATATGCATACTTGGCTGTACTTGTGTTCATGTGTACCTGTTTTACGGCATCTTCCTTTGGCGAAGACCAGTTACCAGTATTCAAGAACAGAAGTACAGAGGACTGTAAAAATTCCCGGATGTTGTTGCCCCCAGATATCAAAGATGCATCAGTTGCATCCACACCAAATGACACACATCCCATGATTGATAAGTTGATTAAGGGTAACAACCCACAAATTGATCCAGGGACTGTATGACCCTGATTTCTCCAAAAAAAAAAAAAAAAAAAAAAAAAAAGTGGCTTTGTTTGTTTGTCATGCTACATGTTGCATAAGATTTTAAAATCCTTTCCGTTTCTTTGAGATGCCCAGCAGTTGTACTCTTGAAGGGTCCATGATGGGATATGAATGGATAGAAATGAGGACTCCTGGAATCTAGGCTCGGGCAACTAACGTATTTGGGATCCTGTGCCCTGGCCTGTAGGAGAAATATGAACGTCTGGAGGTGACTCTGAAGGCCGAGCTGGAGAAGGTGGCCAAGGTTGACCGTGGCCTGCCCGTCCCACCCAAGAGGGCCCAAGACTTCTGGCAGCTTTCTGTCATGGAGAGCTACTTGGCAAGCTTCAGTGTATGGAAATTTTGTAACTTGCACTGTAGCCTTTTGAGCGCATAAACCAAGCAGGGAATCGATGGACAGGGGTGTTCTTTGTCATGTAACCTGCACTGGTTGCCCCTTCTCTCTGTGTGACGATGCACATCCTCTCTCCGAGCAGAACAACCGGGCGAAGGCCGAGGATGCTATGAATTCAGTCTGGATCTCGATGGACAAGAAGCAGAAGATGGTGTGGATCAAGAAGGCTATGGAAGATCGGAAGCGATACAACGTACTGCGGCTGCCTTTGTTAGCCTTTTCTTAGCAATGTGATGTTGAGAAGGCCAGCGATACTGGCAACAGGCGGAGAACTTTCTGCTCGTGATTAGAGTCTCTTCCACTTCTTGCCTTGTCAGCGGGAGCTCGGCGAGATGCAGCCCTTGAACGTGCCCGTCGGTTTGGGGAAGCAGCCAAAGTTCGTGGGGGAGCCCAAGAAACCACCAGGGTACGTATCTGCTTTTGGGGTGAGGTGTGCAGGTCCTGTCTCCTGGAGAGCGGCGCTCCTCCTGAACCTCTGCCCTTGTGTCCTCCAGGAGTGGTTACCACATCTTCTCTCAGGAGGTGCTCGCAAGCAAGGAGCTGACCCACCTTCCCTTAAAGGCGCGCATGGGGGAGGTCGGGGCTCGGTGGAAGAGCTTGTCCGAAAGGGACAGAGAGTCCTACAGGGTGCTGGCAGCGACGATGCTGGAGCAGTACAAGGACCAGCTGGACCTGTGGCTCCAGGTACTGCTGGCTCTTAAGTTCCTCGGGAGCCTGTCGACCATGGAGCATGCTCAGTTCCTCCCGCTGTCTGTCGTCCATCTCATTGGTCATCTTGGTCACAGCTGACATGTCGTACTCTGAGCAACCGGTTTGTGCTGAATCTGTCACGCCACTAATAGTTCATTTTTATCCAGTCAGACTTTGGCTTTGACCATGACCACAGTTTTGCACGTTGTTTTTATTAAAGCAGGCCCATCTTTTCATCTATTGGTTTGCTTGTTCGGTAATGTAAGCATGCCCAGGGGAGTTGGGCTGCAGGTTGACCTTGGACCCCTAAAGGTTGTCCCCTCCCCCCCTACTTGGGAGTTTTTTTGGTTGCTTTCTTTTTTTCTTGTCTTAACTGTCTGTTAGGGCTTCTCGATTATGGCAAAAGTCATAATCACAATTATTTTGGTCAATATTGAGATCATGGTTAACACGATTACTCGATTTTGCAAATGGCATGCATTCATTGTACTTTTAAAAACTTGTCTTAGCAGTGGATTTCCCTGAACTCTAGTAATATAAAGGGGCTGGAAAGGGGTGCGACCTGAACTATCCAGCTGTGCTTGTAGATTAGAGTTTCGATTCTGTAGCCGCCTGTTGCACATCAGCACTGCTTCCAGGACAGGGTCTGACCGGGGACAGTGCTAACGATTTTGTCGTATGAGTTTGTCACCCCTGCATAGCCCATGTCACAGACTCTTCCCTTTTCCACAGAGTCTGTCACCACAGGAACGGACTGCCTACGATGAATATCGTTCCACGGTAAGTGTGGAAAGCGTTGCTCTCTGGAACATGGTGTCCTGCTTCTTTCGTTTTGTGGAGTGAGTTCACAGGTTAAACTTTTATTTTATTAGAAGCGTAAAAGAACGAACAAACCTAGCGGCTCGAAAGCCAAAATGCCGCCAACATCTGCGGAGAAATCGGTAAGTCTTAGGAAGGCGGTGCCTGATGGGGGGGGGGGGGGGGGGCTTCTCTGCTCTCCGACTCATGAGTAGGTAAGGAATGGAACCACATCTCTCTTCACATCTTTCCACAGGATTCCGAAGACGGAGGTATTGATGAAGATGAGGATGAGGAAGAAGAGGTCTCGTCGGGGGAAGAGTCTTCGAACAAAGAAAATGATGAGGAGGAGGAGGAGGAAGAAGAGGAGGATGATGAGGATGATACCGATCAAAATGTGGAAGAGAAGGTGAGAGCTCCTCTGGTTCTAAATCAAATCCCAAACATCTCCCTGTGTATTCATCCTCAACCGTCATCAAATGACTAGGCCACCTATTGAATTTGAAGGGGAATGGTTCTTACCTCTTAGGTTCAGTCAACTGTATGCTAAGGGCATTTTTTCCACCGCACCAGGTACCAAACTTTTGGTACTTGGAGAAATACTGAAGTATGGTACCTCCTAGGTGTTGGTTTTCCACTTGCGTAATACCCGGTACCGGCAACCGGAACCTTCACGATGTGTGTAGGTGCCGCCCCGCCAACATCGGGCGACTGTGACATCCGCATGCCCCACATGCCGGGAAAGTACACGGTTTGACCACCTGGCCTCATGCAAACCCACAATGTGACCCCTATCGAACTCTGTCAAGTGCTGGTAATGCTGTCTAATGCATCTACGAGGCGTCCTCTGTGTCCGGTGACTAGACGTGCCAACTCCTTGCAAATCGAATCATTGACATACCCATCGCTGATCTGCACAAGTATCAAATCGCATCCAACTCGGACCATTACTTCTGGGTGCTTTTTTTTTTGAGTATATGATTCCTTTTATAGATTCTTATATGTTTAAAAATCAGCTTAAAGTCCCTCTGCTGCTTTTGCATGAGCGCAATATACGACTCAGCTCTCAGACAATCATCATTTTCATCCTTGCCATAAATATTAGTGATGTGATTTTAATAACAAAATCAAACCACTATAACAGCACGCTATACGCATGCTGTATTAGTATATTCAACAAAATACTTTTTTAATTTCTTGTCGTCATGTGGATATTTTTGTTGTATCTGTTCTTACGACCCAATTGCATTTATTTATTTTTTTAAAGTTTTTATCATTTTCTGAGTTTGCGACTTTTCAAGACAGCGTTTTGTATTTTGTTTGTGGCAGGCTATTTGCATAACCAAACAACAAAGAAAGTGTTTTCAAGTTCCACCCCAAAAGTACTGAAGTACCAAAGAAGTACCCCATCTGGTTTGGCACTTTCAATACTGGAACTTTTGGTACTGGTACTCGACTGGTAGTCAATGGAAAAGCGAAAGTACCATACTTGGTGTGGTGGAAAAGCACCCTTAGATGGTTTAACGTCTGCTTATGAAAACTTAGATTATTAAATGTTCATGATCAACGAAAGTATTGCTGCAAAAAGACTACGGTCAAATACACTGTTGTAGAATCCTACATCCATTCATCCATCCATATTACTGCCGTTTCCCCGGTACAGGGTCACAGATGCGTCATCAAAAAGAATAATCAAAGCAACTCTGGTCTAATTTTCAGGATGAGGACACAGACAAGGATACAAAGAACAAGGAGAATGAGTCTGGGGGCAGTAGTGTGTCCAGTTCTGAGTCTTCAGACTCGGGCTCGGACTCCGAATCTGACTCCAACACCGATTTTAACTCTGACTGAGTTGACCAGCAGGGGATAGATGAGAATGTTGCATTCTGTCCTTCAGTAACATGTAACCACTTGGGGTGATGTCTGGCTCATCTGTCACCTGTTACACTTCTAGTGTGTGTATTTCTTCCTACACTGTGTGTATAGCAGTTTAAATGCTGTTGATTGTTATAATGTCCTCTTGTCCATCTTTAAAAGCTCTCCAAGGGGAAGAGAAACATAGTACAGCGTTACTTATCAGGATCTTGTACTACCCAAGGCATGGCTACAGAAACATTTTTTTTTTTACTGATGTGTGTATTTTTATTTTTTTTTTATTTTTGTATGCAAGTAGCCTGTCTCTGAGGTAGTGGAGGAGTTGGGTAAGTGGTAAGAATTCTCTAGGTCATGAAGCACCAAAATAATTGAAGTTGAATTTCCAATATGATTTAATATAAAGAGATTAAGTAACTATTGACGCATTTATCTAATCTGAATTATCTGCTGTTTTCCAGAAGACCGCCACTGTTTTTAAGTTTGTTCTGGTTTTTTTTTTTTTATATGGGAAATTTGTCTGCTCTTCTAGAATTTCAGTTCTAGCCTGTCTGTCAAAACTTGTGTTCAAATTGCAGAATGTTAGGATTACCATAAAGGATTTTAAATGTGATTCTGTTAATGGGTTTTATTTTGGTTCTGTCAGTTTCTGATGGTTTTGGTAATTTTTGATTGTGGCGGCAAAACAATGGTGACCTGAGAAAATAAGATTCTGTAACTGAAAGGAACTTTTTGAAAAATATTGGGGCATGTTTATCCTAAAATAAAATATTTTTTCAGGGTTCAATCTACTTATATAGCTGCTATTCCTTTACCTGCTATAAGCTTAATCTTTTGATGTACCAGGACATTTTGAAGTACAACGTAAAACCAATATTGTAGGTTTTGTTTTAATAGTCCATATTCATATTTGAATTGTCTGGTTCCCCCCTTTTGAGAAATTTTCACTTTCAGTCATCCACAAAGCACAATGATGGGAATATTGATGATTGTTCCTTGTTTAAGAAATTAAGGTTTACGCAAGCTTTGGCTTGGTTGTAATCTTAAAAAAAAAAAAAAAAAAAAATCTGGTCTTCCATGCCCATGCAAAACACTGATTTTAACTTTTTATGTTTCGTCGTCTAAATAATTCAGTTCATTATCTGCAACTGGTTTCTGTTCCAATGTGCTGTCAGTTTTGAGATATTTGACGTCTGTATTGAATCTGTTGCAAACACTTATTCCACCAGTTCATCCATCCATTCTGTAACCGTATGTACATTTAAGGTGTAAATCTGTGGCGCGCGTTGGCGCATCCTGGGACTGATGGAATAAGCGCGATCACCATCGCATGGGGTGCTGAGAGAGCACATGCACCCGAACCACGCCATGAACTTAAAACGGCAACCTTTAACGTTGTGTTAATGCTGCGAAAATCTGTTAAACAAAAGAGAACGACTAAAGCCCTAATGTTGCGATGTTACTATTCAAATCGAGTGGCGGAAATTAGACCTATTTGGTTAATGAAAATATGTAACCAGGACATCCGATCCCTTTGTAATAGTCCAGACCAATCAAACGTCCATCGTGCCGCCCCGCAGTTCTTAAATTGTCTCCAAAACAATGTTACATTGTTGTTGTCCTGATGGCAGCCTCTAATTTAAAATTTAACGTTTACAAAGATGCTTATTGGGCCGTGGGTGGAATGAACCTAGCTTTGAATCTCAGAAAGTAGGATTATCCATGAAAGTAAAAGGAAAATTGAATGTTCATACTTCCTTAAGCGAAATGCAACAGGAAAACGCTGATGGCCAAGCCCGGGTTGATTTCTGTTTAGTTCAAATATGCTCCGAATAATTGTATATATTCGTGTACAATAATATGGAAAACGGATATGAATGCTCGGTGACTGAAAACAAAGGCAAGAATTGAAACACCGGCGACCGCTTTAACAAGTCAGTACAAAACAGCCGCAAACCTACGCGACAGTACGCGTATATATTTGCTGAATAAAAATCAGACGATCTCTCGAAACTGCACTTGTGATGCTTCAGTCAACGTAATACGATTTGAGGGTGTATGCTGTATTCTTGACTTGCAAATTATATTACGTAATTAACATTTCATTTATACGGGGTGCTGCGAAAATATGTTGTAAAAATCTAATGCAACTTCTATGACAAGCATTTTCTGATTGTTGGGGTAAAAAAAAAAGCCATCTTGCCAGGCGATCCGCGGGATCAGTGATCGATTAGTATTGCCTGCCGAGGGGAAAAATGGCTGCTTGTGCTTGATTTTTAAAATTTCTTATCGTCACATTTTGGCAATACGTTTATCATTGCCATAAGAGCCGTTAAACCTTTCCAGTCGGAGTACTTAATTGGAGTGCGAAATGGCTGGGGACGGCTAACTGGGTGTCGGTGATATTGGCGTCCACGAAGGGAGTAGCGGGTATGCCCTGTGAATGCCTGCCCTGGCCCGTTTCAGCAGCGGATAAGTGTCTGCACCACTGCAGGTAACACCACCACCACCAAAAACGTTTCCAGTGTAATAGACGCGTCGGATTTCCCGTTGATCGGACGAACCTGGCCGATGTGCTTTGAGGCACCGCTTCCCACCGTGCGCTTTACCGCCTGCCGGAGCGCCGTGCCCTGAAATCGGCGTCCACGGAGATCGCAGCCCGCAGAGCCACTTAACAAAAGATAAATAAGGGGCTGCGATGACACAAACGGCTTCGCTTTTGTTTCTGTTGTTTATTCTCTCCGACAGCTAGCGTCGGGTGGCGAAATGTGACTCATCGCCGGACTATTCATCCGTAGGAAAGTCGCTCGTCGCATCGAAACTTATTATTTTACAGCCGAATTTGCGTCTTAACAGCGCTTTTAGCGCTCGTGCGCCACGTTTGGCGCGTACCTGCCGTTTGATAGTTATTTATTTGGTATTGTTTGCCGGAGCCCAGTTCGGCTTTCTCATTGCCGTCGCCCTGCTCATTGTCTCGGCCGGGCTGCTGGGTGTGTACGGCGGTGCGTCGCCACTGATCTCCTCCTCTCCTGGACGTAGCTCTGCCATGGATGGCCGCCTCTCGTTTCGCTTGTGATCATTTTAACGTTTGGTAACCGAGGCGGTGTGTATCCGCAGTACACAGCCGAAGCACTAAACAGCGCTGCCTTAACCTACGGTGCCCTGCTCTGCGCCGGACTCTGTCTGCTGTGAGTACAGATGGGATCGATTTAAACATCATTATATTATGTAATGGTGTAAGCACAAAACTCTTTCACGACGCCGACTATAGTCATTTAAAGAATTGAAAACGGCGTACTGCCAGTCATGGTTACTTAATATGTTATAATTAAAAAAATAATAATCTCCAATGCTTTGTGTCCATCCTCTTCCCAGTGCTAGTTCACCCCATGCTGGCTGTACTATGTAGACGGCAGTGCTTCCCTTTTCGATTTCGCAAATGAAAATGGAGGATATGTCGCTGTCAGGCCTGGACAACACCAAGCTGGAGGTAACCACAGCTCTTAGCACCGATATTGGGGGATGTAGTTCCTCAAACCATTTTAAAACGACTTCTTGTTTGAAGCGTAAGACTGAGACCAGCAAATGCCTTGGCCATTGGCAACCACATCCACCCCCTGCCCTGTGTCACCCCCCACCTGCCCAGGCCTTAGCGCATGACATCTATGCAGACCTGGTGGAGGATGCCTGCCTGGGCCTGTGTTTTGAGGTGCATCGAGCCGTCAAACAGGGTTACTTTTTCCTGGATGAGACGGACCAAGACAGCATGAAGGACTTCGGTAAGCAGCTGTGCCCCCCCCCCCCCTCGGCCGGCTGTCTCATCCCTGACAAATACCACTAACACACATAATGGTTGGAATATATCACAATGAAGGTTTAAAATTCCGTAATATCCACCCAGAGCCAGCCCTACCTTTTAAGGGACCCTAGACAAAACTTTACTTTTCCCACCTACCAAGAAAATTGCTGCTCATTTCACTTCCTCTGCAATACAGGTAATTCTGGGGCCTCATGCAACTACATCAGTTGTGCTGAACCTGTAGTCAGGCCTAGGCAACACAGGTCACGGGGTACCAGTCAATGATTAACAATCATACACTACATGCAAGAGAATGTAGGTGTACTTCAAGGGCCAACACTTGTACCCTTTCAAGTTCAGAAGTATGCAAGGGAATCTTCATGACGGGGAGAGAACACACAAATTCCATATACGCAGCGCAGGGACTAGCGTTCGAACCCACGACCACGGAGGTGATGGTGCCCCCTAGCTGCTGTATCGCCCTCTGACTTGCTTCCGGTTTTGTATCTGGCCTGCTGCAGAAATCGTGGACCAGCCGGGTGTGGATATCTTCGGCCAGGTGTACAACCAGTGGAAGAACAAGGAGTGTGTGTGTCCCAACTGCAACCGTAGCATCGCCGCCTCGCGATTTGCCCCCCACCTGGAAAAGTGCCTGGGGATGGGGCGAAACAGCAGCCGCATCGCCAACCGCAGGTCTGCGCAGGAAGGGCGCCGCGTTCCAGGCTATCCACTGTGGGGCGTAAATCGTGCACCTGACCCAGTCTACTTTGCTTCCTACTCCCCCCCCCCCCAAACAGAATAGCCAGCAGCAACAATATGAGCAAATCGGAGAGCGACCAGGAAGACAATGACGACATCAATGATAATGACTGGTCATATGGGTCTGAAAAGAAAGGTGAGCACCCCCTCCTGGATGCTGTGGGGGGGGGGGGGGGATGTATTCCATCATCTCTCTGTCTTACTCCCTTTCTCCCATTTTTTACAGCCAAGAAAAGAAAGTCAGATAAGGTATTTTTACATTCTTTGAAACAACCTGTATTATTGGTAAGTCTTTCTTTGGTAGGAAATGTGTACCGATTGTACCTTGCAGACGGTTTCTTTAGCTGAATGAGCGGCAGATTCTTGTATTATTTATTAGATATTTACAGGATTGCTGCCCCTGGTTCTGTTGCTCGTTAGTTGCGTACAGTGGTGTACTTAGAAATTCTCAGCCCTTTGCTCAAC